TCTCTCTCTCTCTCTCTCTCAGCGTCTTTTAAACCCAAAGGGCACGGTGTTCCACTCATCCAACGGGTCCCGCCGCCTTTTGGTGTACACGGGTCTCAGAATTTTGTGCGTATTTTTACTCACCACGTGGAACCGGCCGTCCCGCCTGATGTCTTTGTGGCTTTCAATACGCATAGGAGCCATTTCGCCCTTGACCAATTTGACCATATTTTCAAAGCTGATGAGGTCAGCGTTTGAACTGTTCTGAGACACCCCTTTCACCTTCACCACAAAGGCCGGGTCGTCAGGGTTACCTCCTTTTGCAACGCGATAGGCATATACCTTTGGGCCTGCTGACACGAACTCGGTGATATAGGAGCCTGTCCCATAGCACGCCAATTCATCCGTCATCTCGCCCAAATCATTCCCAAGGGGGATGGAGGGCGTACCGTCACGGGCCTGCACCCAAAGTATCGCGTCAGTGTCCCAGTAGAGTGCACTCTCGCCGACACTCTGGAGGTGGCGGTGCAGTATGATCCTGGCCTGGGCTGTTGTGTAGGCCGCAATGACCACATTTGTGTTTCGACTGATGGGGACAGAACCTTCTCTGTACTCGTAAGTCACGAGCTCGGTCTGCAGATTGATGGGCAAAATGGACCTCACTTGTAAACACGGATCCATAAGCAAGCTGTAGGGTCAGGGTGGGGAAAAATGAGACACCTCAAAATTGGGGAAAAATGAGACACCCCCTCCTTTTGTCTAGTTTCCATGATTTTGGACCTAAAACGCAAAAGCTGAAGCGCTTATCTTCTAGCTTGGACATATAACTTCAAATATTTACGGGTCCTGAGAAGAAATATCACTCCTTCTTGTATTGAAAACGGACGAAAGAGACGCCTGTCGGATCAACTGTGCGCAAGGCCTCTAAAACTTTCCTGCAGAGGTGTTATACTTTCAATACTGCATCCGTTATCGTAGGGTTTAATGTGAAGTGCTTAGGTTCGTTGGAAAGCTGAAAGTCTAGCGATTCCGTAGAGCTATTCAGGTAACCCGTAACATATTTAGGTAGGCCGTCCGATGAGGAAGAAGTTAAGGGGTAAGAATGAGACACTCGTGCGGGGAAGAAAAAGACACCTAGGCCCATTGATTTACATGGGCAGGCAATGTGGGGAAAAATGAGACAAAAAATGAAACGGCGCTGTCTCGTTTTTCCCCGCCTGCAGAGATGCAATACTTTGAATACTACACCTGTATTCTTAGTAGTAAGTATAAAGTTACATAGGTCGTTGGAAAGCTGAAACTCTGGCGATTCCGTAGCGCTATACAATTTACCCGAAATGTTGTTCCGAAGTGTTATATTCGCTGGGTTTTGACTGTCTCATTCTTCCCCGCGCGTGTCTCATTTTTCCCCGAAATGCATATAAGGAAAAATACCCATATTATCCTATTTCATACGCACAGTAGAGGTAGCATCGTGAAAATTATGATGGAATTTCATCACAGGGAGTATGTTTCATCGACAAGAAGCAATATTGCTCACCTAGGGCTATTTTTCCGCTTGTAAAGACCAAATTACGTGAAATGTCTCATTATTCCCCACCCTGACCCTAGTGCTTTTCAACAGCCGTCACGATGACGTGCTTGGTGAGGTTCGACCCCTGACCAAATTTACCCCAGAGACTGTTTAGCTCGAGCTTGGACAACGCCCGCAAGGAAGGATTAAATACGATATTGTCCACGTCCAAAAACACTCCCTTTGACGCCTGGTCCGCCACGTAGGCAGCCCGCTTCTCATCAGTGTCCATCTCTGGGGGCCACCCAGAAGCCTCCAGCTTGAGCTTTAGGTTTTTGTTGACATACTCGGCAAACAGTCCCCGCTTGGCAACATTGGTCGGATCCTTGTTTTTTGGGCAGTACTGTGTGACCCCGTCATAGATCCACACCTCAAACGTTTTGATCAACGTGTACCCATGCTCCAGAGCGTAACGCACCTCGTCCACGACCCAGGTATCTTTCAACATACGCTCCTCGTCTGAATGCGCGCACTCCTCCGGCGCATCAAACTCACAAGCCTGTGCACAGGCATAACACAAGACAAACATCAACTTGTTGTGCATTCTTATAGGTAGAATGGGATGGTAGAGATCCTGGGGCGGGAGCACGGTACACTTGATGAAACCCTCAAATTGGCTAGGGTGTGGACAATCGGGGTACACGGCGCGCCGGGGCTTTCCCAGAGGGTACTTCCCCATTTTGTTGACGTAGGGATACAAGGAGCAAATGTCAGCGTAGCAGATGCGCTCCCCAGCCTCACACTTACGCCACAGCTTGGCGTTATTTGTGCGCCCTCCGAAAAAGGCGTCCCTAGGGTCCAGGGGGTCCTCCTGGAGGACGGGGTGCGCCTCGGTGTAAGCGCGCACCTCGGGATCGGCCTTTTTTAGTTCAGCCCATTCACATTCCCAAATGGTTTCCACAGTGTAACCCGCCCGTTCCAACATTTCCTGTCTCGCTTGCGTGGCCCGCCACCGGCCCTCCATCGTATCATTGTTGTCATTACCAAGAACTGATGTTCGGATTGGGAAACACTTTGGATGGCCATGGTAAAAACAGCCATAGAATTCAAATGCCCTTTTCTGTGGCTCGTACAGGCCGTCGAGTTTGTACGGCCCCACCTTGGCTTCACGCCCGTTGCCGGCGTGCTGTATGGGAATCTGAAGGGTGTGACTAGTCCACTGCAGCCACTCTAGCGCAACTTTGGACTGCATGTCTGCCGCAAAGTACCCGCCTTGTGGCATCAATGCGATCTTCTCCGCCGGGAGGAAGTTTGCCTGAAAACTGAGCATGCAGCATGAGGCGAGGGTGCAACACTCTCGAAATGGATCTATGGAAGCAGTGTCGAGAAACAGTTGTCGAAACTTTAGGGCAGCTTGGCGAAGGACAGCCACATCAGAGCGACAGTAAAGCTCTAATTCACGGTCCTGGTCAAACACGACGTCTTTCTGTGTGGCATACCAGACGTCAAATGCAGCCCTGTCCGACACGCTCATTTTGTCGACCCCATAAGCCTCAGGGGGCGGCACCGGGCCCCTGTACCCTTCATGAGCTTTTGAATTCCAGTAATGAGGGTACCAGCCCTTGGCTACCCCCTCCCCCAACCCCAAAGCTCGCGGAAGTGCCCGCAACGGCATCGGCAAGAATGAAAGGGTATCAAGCATCTTATATTTCCCCAGTTTAACCTCTATAATTTTTGTCCCACGCATTATAAATGATGGGGCCGACTCGGCAAAGCAGGGGCGACTCACTAAAAAGTCGAACAAAAACACGTTATCATACCCACTCCCAAAGTGACTCAGGAGGATGACGGAGCCAAACTTGAGCAGTTTCTCATCATTAAACACATATGTCATAAAGTTTTTGATACAGTCGTCCCCCCTTTGAAGACCCTCTCCCTCTC